GTCGATGAAGCTTACAAAGGCTTGAAAGAATGCGTCGTCTCCTAGAGACGAAGATCGACGATGTATTTTTTATCGATGGATTTTCGGTCAGGAGGAGAGTGACGAGACTATCCTGGGTTGAGGGGAAGATCCCAATACTCAAAGTTGAAAGGAATCAAGCAAAGAAGAAGTACTTGCAATGCAAAACTTCATCCTCGAGGACACCATATCGTCATTTTCGTCGTCCAGTCAACCACAGGTACGGGAGGGACATGGAATTTTAGCTGCAGGTGGAAATCAGACAGAACGACGAAGGAATCACAATGGATGGTGTGCCAACCGTCCACTAAGCTGGGATGCGTGTCCAAGAGGCTAAGGGTGTCTCATTAGCAGGTCAGATAGGATGATTTGAAGTGATGCGCTAAGCATTTCCAGCAGCTGCTCAACGCCTACCCATCTGACGGTTTATTCCCTGCGGAAACTGGAGGTTACTACAGATTCATTTATGCAAATATAAACACAACAACATTACTACACTTGAAGGTGAAGAAGAACAGGAATTTGATCGAATTTCTCCAAGTTGTGGAGGAACGGGGATGGTAGAAAAACGTCATTTTTTATCATCCGGCTGATAAGAAGCCGATCTTGATTACAGAAAAACGGTCCAGTGCAAGTACGATTATTCAGATGGTTTCAGGATTGAGGCATCCGCTGGTAAGCAGTGATTTGATAAAACTGTTAGAAGAATCTAGATTCAAACATCATGGTTAGTTGTACATAACAGTCCAACAACGGCATAGAAAGACAACAGTGATCATGATAGATAATGATCGAAACAAAACTCTCCGATGAACCTCATGGCGGCAGACTTGCTTAAGCCGAGGAATACGGTCTGTACATCAGCATGGATAGCGAACATATACTTAGTTATTTGCGATCATTGAGCTGGTCGGCTCATATAAGAGGTCAGACAATTAAAATCTCAGTTATTCTATAGTGCTGGATGAAATGTTGCAGTTTTAGAGCAGAAGAATATTTTTCAACGAAATATCACAGCCAGCTGTAAGCTTTGATTTCTTCGTTCAGGAAACGACATGGCTATATAAACTATCATATGCCTGACACAGGAACATAAGTGAAGATTACATGGGACCAATCGTGAGGTAGACAGCCGGAGAGTCTGGCGACCTAAAATCGATTAAACAACGCTCGGTGGATCATTTGCTACCTGGTTCTGGTTCACGCTTGTGATATAAATCCCACATCGCAGTGAAAGGCAGCAATGGAAAGCTTGCTTTAAACTGGGGACCAAATCTTCCTGTCATACGTGTGTAAGTGCGTAAGGTGATGTTTGATCTCGTTTGTGCATGAGTAGCGAGTTGTGTTTGTCATTTGGTTTAATGACGGGTGGATCGATTTGCTGGTCGCCTCGAGAACTGGTTCTTTCGCATCGCGCATTGACTGCTGAGTTAAGAATTAATGACGTGTGTTTTCAGAAATCCCGAAATTTGGATTAGTCGAAGGCAGATTATAGAGACCATCGCCGGCAGCGATCGTTGCTTGCTGCTTACATTCGACTTGCAAACGCACACACATTAACTGTTATCCGAAAAAGCCCAGAAGCCGGATCAAGTGTTGACATGAAAAAAGCGCATTAAAATGATGATTTTCACGTCTTGCTGTCGGTCGAAGTCTTCTGTACGTGTTTTCTGCGACAGAGCGGCCGATGGGTAAGATCGAGTGCTTCGAGATCACGTTGAAGAACGACAGGAACGTGTACTTCGCCGGCGAAGAGGTGGTCGGCAAGCTGGTGATCGCGTTGTCGATCGCGCAGAAGGTCGAACAGATCGTTCTGCAGTTCAAGGGTCGGGCGAAGACCAACTGGGCGAAGCACCAGGGCAAGACCAGCACGCACTACAGCGACGAAGAGGTGTACTTCGACAGCAGCGTCGACACCAACTACCCGAACCAGTTTGAAGGCCAGATGCTGCCGGCGCAGGTGCACGAGATCCCGATCTCTTTTCAGCTTCCGGCCGAGATCCCGTCGTCGTACGAGGGCTCCCACGGCCACATCCGGTACGAGTGCAAGGCGATGCTGAGTCGAGCCTGGAAGCTCGACATTTTGTGCAAAAAGCAGTTCCGGGTCATCGCCCAGGTGGACTTCAACTCTGTGCCGGGCATCTCCAGGCCGGTGACCATTCGCAAGTTCCAGCAGGTGTACTGTTGCTGCTTCAACCGCGGCCACGTCGCCGTCAACATTTCCATGGCCAGGCGCGGCTTCGTTCCCGGCGAGGACCTGGAGGCGTCGTGCGAGGTGGTCAACGAGTCAGTGAAGGCCATCACCGCCGTCTGCCTGCGCTTCGTGCAGAGCGTCGTGTTCCGCGGCAAGACCGTTTTTCTAGGATACAGCGGCGCCAAGGAGGTGTCGACCGAAGGCGGTCGTGTCGAAATGAACACCTCCATCGAACGGGGGACCACCAAAAAGCTCGACCTCACGCTGCAGATTCCCCCTGTGCCGCCCACGCTCTCCAACTGCAACATCATCGAGATTTCCTACCACGTCAGCTTCAGTGTCGGGTCGTTCATCGACTGCTCGATCCCGATCACAATTGGCACCGTGAAGTCGATCGACCCGGCGATACTCAGCGCCACTGACGCTACCTTCAACGGAGATGCGGTGGCGGCCGCGCTGAACCAACTGCCCTCGTCTCCCCCGTCAGAAGGTAAACCAGCTTCGTTTATGTTTTTGTCTGTTCTGTTTCAAATAACATTACTGTAAATTTTCAGATACGTCACACGTGATCTTGGACCAGGAGTGACTTATTGCATTGAAGCAATCGACGGTAAAACTGCTCATAAGACTTTTTGGCTTTCGCATTCTCATACAGATGCCTGGTAGTTCATCCGTAATCTGGTAGTTACAACAATCGTTTGTTCATTCACTAATTTTCGTTCATTTATAATTATTTCACCTTCATCTCTTTAACTGTCGGTTGTACCTCTCGTGTCCACCATGAAGATGTTTTCTGACCTCCATACGGCAGGCCAACCCGCTTGAATCCGCAGCATTCGCAGTGGTCAAACCGTCATGCGATGTTGCTTGCAAATTTCGCTCTTGTATCCGCCGATGTTAATATTTCCCATTTGGTTCTCTGGTTGCTTTTGCCACCAGATCTTCGCATGGTACTACATTTCTTAGAGCGCAGCGTGCCATAATAGAGGTGATGACAGATTGAAAGTTATTCGCCTCCTTTAACCTCCCTTAACGTCCGCTACAGACCGTCTTAAGTCAGACGATACGTCTATCAAATTAATCATTGACTTATGTGCAGAAGCTTCCCTGTACCAGCTATAGTGATGCACTCTTCGATGCTCGAAACCGAGAGTTCGTTCTTTGCACAAATCCGCTACTACCTCATGGGAAGCCGTTATTGTTAAGGTCGCTAGGGCTGTTTTTCCAATCACTCCTTTGTACTTTTCAGTGTCCGCTCCGATATGCAAATCAAAATCGGAATGAGAGACTCCATAGTTTGCCCTTCGTACAGAGCACACTCCACTTCCTCAAAAAAATGAGCAGCTAGGAATAACTGAATAATGAGGTGAATTCTGGTTATGACATAGTTGATCTCGCTGCGGTTTACTGATCACTGTTTATGACGGTTTTAGCGAATCAATATAATATTTGTAAATTTATGATAACTGTATAATATTGTAAATATCTGGAATGATCATTCTAGCGTGATCAAGCCATTAGATAAAACTGTGTGCATGTTTTTACTCTTTCATATTCAGTGTATACTAAAGTGAACCGCAATGTATCGCCTTCGTACATTATTTAAATTTAGTGTTATATTAGTTTTCACTTTGTGCAACTTTAAACTTTGTAGTCTTACAACAGTATAAGGTATGGCAACTCTATCTTTAATTCAAATGATTTTTCGGGAGTGGGGAAAGGAGTAGCGGAAGAGGTATCAAACAGTTAATGAGACTCTGAATTTGGGCATCTGCAGTGTTTTGGTACTATATTTATTTCGTATCGCTTTATTCGCTACGGTCATATTCTTCCCACCATCAGTAACATTTCAGCAACTTCCTATATGATGGAGTTGTTGCAGAAACGCAGAAAAACGATTTTGCATATGGCAGCTTGTTAATAAATGAAGGACCTCCTCTTACTCATATTTAAAAACTGAACTTAAGTCCTCAATGCTGCAATTTGTGTCAGAATTCGAAAACATTTTTACAGAATAATACATCATGTTGAATTTACCGAATTCATGTTCTCTAATGTTTTGAATAATACTTGATTTGTCTTCAGGAAGAGATATGATGCAAAACCAAGTTCTGTTTTAGAAGCGTTCAGTTTAGACCAGAGAAATGTATATAATAAACTCTTTACAAAACGTAATAACCGTCATATTAATTTTATACGGATTTTCTATAAGTGGTTATGTGGTAACCAGGGCTATGTTTTTTCCATATATTACCTTACGGATAGCGGCAGATTAGTTGATACCGAAATCGTACATGTTCAGCCCAACCCAGAGATGCAGTTTTGTATCCAATGCACTGCAGGTGCTCAAATACGTTTGATCAGTGGCTTGTAGAATTGTCCTCTTGTGCAACTGGAATCGAAATGTGGCGTACCTGCGCTGAGTAATTCCGACATCAGAAATTGAAGTATTATAATTACCGGCGGGATTTGAAGGCTGCTACATGACATTCGCAGAACATCTGAATTACGCCTTGGTTTTTTAAAGCTTTTCTTCATCATCATACACCCCACTGTACGCAATCTTACTCTAAGCAGACAGATTCTTCGGTTCAAATATTACACGAAATGGTTATTGGAGATACATCGAGTGATATACAAAAGGTTGCTCCGGATGGACTCTGTAGTGTATGCTTTTATGAAGAGATACATACTAATACAAAACATGAGGTTCAGACTCTGCTCTGAAGAGGGACTGAACTTGGTCTTAATGTCGGCCTTTTGGTTAGGAAATGTGTAAGTCTTCAGCGACTGATCTTAAATGTACTGACCATTTTCCACACAAACAAGTCATATACAATGTTCAATACAAGATTATGATTTCCAAGGCTCTAGTTTGATAGTAAAGCACTAAATTTAACCCCCCTCCCCAAAAAAACACTTTTCTACGATGTTCAATGGAGGCAATAGCAATCGATAGCAACAGGCCCTTGTCCTTTGAATCTTGCATTGTTTACTGTGGGAAGAACGCGTCATAACGTTATGACAGATGCTGCACCTGCATTGCAGCTGGCATGCTTTTAGCTTTGTACCAGCAGGCCAAAAGTTTTGTCGATGGTACATTAACGAACCATTAACTTAACTAACGATTACGAATATCCCTTGAGCGAGATTTAGAGTTTGCCTTAGCTGTGCAAAGAAGTCCACCATTACCTGCATCGCATGATCTAAGTAATTTCATGAGCCACACCTACGAGAAGAGACTGACTGCCACGATGCATTTGCATGAAGCGTAGTGGTATACTTTG